ACACCTAGGTTCCCATCTTAACACCATATCTTTGTTCTCTGCCCCTCCAGCTACGTCTCTCTCTACTTCCCCATGATTTCCTGGCTTCTTCCCAGACATCCTTATCCTGTTTCTTTCTCCCTAGACCCCCAGGCTGCTAACCCAGGGCTGAACCAGCTGTCTTTTTGCCTCCCCCACATGACCCTCATTGCCTTCTCCGATGCCCCAGGGCTGAGCCTAAGTTTCCTTGTCTCTATCCCACCCCCTGCACAGAATCTCATTCACCACGTGGTAGGATGGACAGACTGGAACCTTGCCCTGAATCCTGAAGGGGGGCCCAACTGGGTGCGTAACTTTGTTGACAGTCCCATCATTGTGGATATAGGCAAGGACAAGTTTTACAAGCAGCCCATGTTCTACCATCTTGGACACTTCAGGTGAGACAGCAAGGTGTGTGCAGATCAGACAGGGAGAGGGGGAGAGAGGGAGACGAGAGAGAGAGAAAGAAAGAGAGGGAGGGAAAGAGGGAGGGAGGGAAAGGGAGAGAGAAAGAAAGGGAGAGGAGGAGTTGGAAGTGGAAGGGTTCTATGAAGCAGGATCCAATCAAGAGTGGGAATGCCATGTACCTGACCCATCTATGCAGGAAAAAGGCCTAGAATGGGTATCTCTCAATAGAATATTCAAGGTGCTGGGACAATGGCCATTCATGTTCTTCTGAGAGTCAGAAGGGAAGGGTTCATATGGTTAGAAGGCAGTTGGGAAGCTTGTAGTCTACCTTCCTCACTGTACAGCCCCAGAGAAGTCAGGTGACTTGTCCATGGTCACACAGCTAGATACGTATCAAGAAGCAGGATTTGAAGCCAGGTCAGTCTTGGCTCCTGAGTCCAGCAGTCTGTCCTCTGTGCTGCATTTCCTTGGACAAAGAGGAGAAAAATGTTGGGGATTTCCTCCCAGAGAGCAGCTAGGAGCTTGGCCCAGATGGATGAGGGCTGGAGCCCTGATTCTGTCTGTCTTGTGTTCCAGCAAGTTCATTCCTGAGGGCTCCCAGAGGATAGGACTGGATGCCAATCAGAACACCAACCTGGAGACAGTGGCCTTACTGCGCCCTGATGGTGCTGTTGTGTTAGTGGTGCTCAATAGGTGAGTAGGGTGGGAAGGTAGGCACTGTGTGGAGCTCTGGGATGCCAAGGTAACAGTGCCCGCTAGGGGGAGCATTCTCTGACTTGGTCCTCTCGTTCCCAGATCTTCCCAGGACGAACTTCTTACCATTGCTGATCCTGCTGTGGGCTTCATGCAGACCTTGGCACCTGCGGACTCCATTCAGACATACCTCTGGCAGCGCCAGAAATGAAGTGGGCATGGGGGTAGCTGTGCTTGGGGAGTGGACATTAAAACGATGGAGCTAACTCACCCATTGCTTCTGCCTGGAGAGACCTGAAGCAGGGGGGTGGGTTGAGGAAACTGCTGAGCTGTGGTTTGGGTGACTCACTCTCGCCTCCACTCAGTGCCAGGGGCTTGAGGCCCCTAGGGGAACGGGAGGGGGAAGCCCTAGTCCCCTCCAGCATGCATGTATGAGTGTATGCTCTGTGCTGGCTATGGAAACTGGCCCTGTGCCCAGAGTGAGCTCACTGTCTGTACAAACAGCAGATTCAGGGGAGAGGGTGGCAGAGAGATGGAGCTGAGACCAGCAAAGATCGGGAAGGTAGGGAAACCAGACAACTGAAGTGAGGAGAAGAGTGCTTTCCCAGAGACGTGGGCTAGTTAAGGAAGCCAGGTCCTCTGGGGGAGGAATCTTTAGTGCTAATAACCAAGCACCATGCAGATGGCACTAAAGGGAGAGAGACTCTCTGACACCAGGCCACTGTGAGCGAATTTATTCCAGGCGGTGGAGAGGACCACCCCATCTCTGGAAGTGCCCCAAATGGAGACAGACAGGGGCCATTTGGAATGCACAGCAGTAGAAAAGTCAGTCCAGGGAACATCAGGATGTCATTCATCCTCCTCTTCCTCAGCAATACCCAAGGCCCGGGTGCCTGATGTTCGAACAGGAGCTGCCCGCTGTATAGAGACAATGCCACTAAGCAGGGCGTAGCCCACCATGGCTGCCAGGCCGGCCAACACTGACAGAATTTGCTCTCTTCGCCGGTATGGTTCTTCATCAGTCTCTGAAGTTGAAGGTGCTGGGCGTGGGGGTGGAGCTTCAGCTGAGGGAGAGGAAGAATGTTAAGTGAACAATGGGGTCAGAAGACAAGTTTTTGCATATTGTGTCCTTCACCAATGCCCTTCCATCTCACCTCCATCCCAAGGGAAGTACAGACTGAGGATGTGGGTGCAGTAAGTACACAAGTTGCTCAGCCCTCGAACATGGGTCTGTAGTTTTCCATTAGGCAGCTTAGCCTGAAGCAGCAGGGCCACATAGCTGAAGACAAAGGCATCCAGGGAGGCGGGACTGGAGCAGAAATCAGACAGAAAATCAGGGAAATACAGAAATTGGGGCTAGAGAAGATTTGGTGAAAATGGAGATGCAGAGAGAGAATAAAGCTGTAAGCCTGGGGTAAGCTGTCAGGGCCAGACCTGGGGCAGAAGCAAGACTTAGGCAGGAAGACAGAAATGCACACAGTCTTAGATACATGTTCAGTCCCCCAGGTATTGGTGGTGGGTGAGCCTTGAATGGGGCTCTGTCCCAATACTGGATAAAGAGCACATTGAGTAGGGCTGCAACCCTGTTAAATTACTACCCCATGATCCTGGCTGGCTACACAACCCTCTCCCCACCAGAATGGATTCCCTGGTCCTACATATAGCCCCACTGTCACCCAGAGCTTATGCTTACCTCAAACAACCTGGCCCCCCAGGAAGGAGACAGGGTGTCTATCCTTTTCCTAAATCCTACCGCAGTCCCTGCTTACCTACCTCTGGCACCATCCTGCCCCAAAGTCCCTCCTCCTTTTGCCCATATAAGCATCCTTCTGTTATTCACCCATGACCAGGCAAAAAGCCTTGTGGTCTCCAAATTAGTCCACTCCTCTCTGATCCTCCCAAACCTCCCTTTCACAGATCCTTGCCCACCTCTGCCCCTTCCCCAAAATGCCTCTCTAGGCTCAGACTCACGAGTCTCCAAAGAAGAACTTCTGGGAGCCCAGGCGCTGAGAAAGCAGGGTCAGGCACTCCCGGGCCTCTCGATACAGCTAAGGGCAGGGGGGAAGGGAATGGCAGAGAGAATGGGGCAGCCTCAGGAACGAAGGCACAGGTAGCCTCACCTCTTGGGCACTGTAACCCCACATTTCCGACCCAGCCAGCCCTGGCCCCCTGAAACTTGAGACCTCCCCCACCTTCCCCAAAGGCACCTTCTTCTCTACTTCCTCCTCCTCCATGGGCCTCTGTTCCCCACATAAGAGCTGGAGCCGCTCCAGGTATTTCTTCTGCATTCGGCCTGGTAAGAACAGGTTGAGAGGGAAGGGCATGGCTTCAGCGTACCACTTTCGAGTCAGCTCCACATAGTTCTTGGCATCAACCCAGAAAGTGTGGATCTAGAAGGGGACAGGAAGGGAGAGGGGATGATGACTATCCAGGCATCTAGGCGGCTCCATCTCCAAGGACATCTGCATTGTGTCCTTGGCATCTCTCTGGCCTATCTAGCCCTGTCAATCTTTGTCGAGTAGTGGGGAAAACAGGGGATTAGGGGCCAGACCACTGGACACTCCAGAAGTGCAGGCTTCTCACCAACACAGGCAGCAGCTTCTCCTCTAGCAGTGACATGAAGGCCAAGGTATCTGCCCCCTGCCGGGCTGAAAGATCATAGTCTGCGTTGTATTTCTGTGGAGGAAGCAGTCATGAAGTAGATATTAGGGGAGCACCAAGGCCTTGCTCCCTCAGGCTTCCCTTAAGCACTTTCCCTAGTTATACCAAATGGTAAACCCTAGGATGGCTTTGGGTTTGGAGCGAAGACATTTCCCCTTCTCTACGGCCCCCACGTCTGGACTCAGCCAGTGGCCTGTTGGTGTTGGCAGAGTGCCCACCCCTTAGAACTTGCCAGCTAACCGGGCCTTGCGCCTGTTGAGGGGGGGCCCAGCCACAAACTCGGAGTGGCTCCCAGAGTTTCCTCGGAAAGCTGGCACTGTGCCTACTGGAGGCTCCTCTCTGACAGCAGCCTGCCTCTCCTCACACTCATATAAATACCACAAAGAAGTCAGAGCAATACCCAGAGACAGGTTTGTCTCTGTATCTCCTCAGGAGCCCAGGGGACCCTAATACAGCAGAATGGAAGGAGTATGGCCTGTTCTTTCACCCTTTAAGCTGTAATCTTCTTTGTTTTAATTTTTTTTCAACTACCAAGCAAATATTTTTTCTCCCTTCAACCTCCCCCCAATCCCATTGAAAAAAAAAAAAAAACTCTTGTAACAAATCTGCATAATCATCCTAATACCAGAGACCAAATGGCTTTAAAATTCCCTGACTACCATGCTTGACTCTTTGCTAAAATTTAGCCACCTCACACCAAGGCCAAGAACCCTTTTCCTCTTCATACTCTCCCCAGAGGCTATGTCTAGTCTACTTCTCAACTTCTCCTACCCACCCTGTTATCACTTTCCCAATCCTTCTGTTTCCTGACCCATGTCTTATCTTTGGCTCCCAAAGATCTTATGACCCAATTTCCTTCTCACCCAGATCGTTTTCATTTGCTTTCATCCTTCATCTACAAACCCTGTTATTCCCTCAACCCCTCCATGCTTAGAAAAAGCAAAATTGAAAATGGAGGACAAGTATTCTGTCCAACCCACCACCAATATCCCTTGGGCTCAGAATGCCTGCACCCGACCTGTTTTCTTAGATGAGTGATGATCTGGTGTAGCTGTGAGATGACCCCAGCATCACTAGTCCGGAGGGCAGGCAAGGTTCCTGGGGTAGAAAGAGAAAGACCATATTTGTGCATGCATTTAGCAAACATTTGTTAAGAATTTATATGCAAAATAAACTGAAGTCTACTATTTTCCAAGACCTGCAGGGGATTGAATAGGGTGAATAGTGGGTGGAAGCGAAGCTCTTCCTAGAATTTCTCTTTAAAAATACATCCAGATTCCCTTTATCTCTTCTTCTCTTCAGTACATCCCACCCCAACCCTCCCAGCCAAGCATTAGATATATCAGTGGTACCTGAAGGGCTCCTCCAGGGGTTGGTGATCTTGTGTACTTTGAGAGGGGCCCCAGTGAATCTGGCATAGGTCTGCAGGGAAAGAAGGGAGGAGGCAGTGAAGCAGTACCCATTAGGAGGGACAGCTCAGAAAGAGCTTACAATGTTCCTATCAGGAGGAGTAAGAAGGAAGGCACTGCCATGATGGGGCCTTTGTCTCTCCATACATAACATGTGACAATGCTTTTTTTTGGTGAAGAATGACAATATCTGAGGTTGGGCCCAGGGTTAGAGCATGTGTGCACTCTGGATTTACAAAAGGAAATGACTTCATGGATCATCTTAGTTCAACCGCTGTTTTAAGGGTTCTTAAGGAACCTATGATTTCATAGGTGTAATAAGTTCTGGTTGTGGAAATTCCCTCTACCAATGCAGTTCTGCAAATCCACTGCAACTTATCATCTTATAGTGGTTGTTACATGTTAGAGGCAGGATTACTTCCAGAAAGCCAACTGCATCAGGCTGCCTCTCAACTCCTTCATTTTATCTATGATGAAACTTGGTCTGGCGATTAAAGTCACCCACCCAGTAACTGGCAGAGTCAAGACTGGCTATTTGCAGTAAAACACAAGGCTTCTAGTACTAACTCAAGACAGGTGGTTCTCTATGGGACCCGAGGGGAATCTTATTGGTTCAACCCCCTCCTTTTATAGAAGAAGAAACCAAGGCCCAGGGAGGCAAAGTCCAAGGTCATGAGACCAATAAATGGTAGGACCGGGATCTGAACCTAGGTCTGCAGACTCCAAACCCAGGGGTCTACCTGGCTGTGGCGTAAGGGTTCTTGGAGATCGTTTGGTAGCCAGATGATCACCTGGGCACTAAATTCTAGTTCAAACCTTTTGCAGGTACAGGAACTGAGACCCTGGAAGGGGAATCCACTTTACCAAGGTCATGCAGTGAGCAAAATGGCAGAGGCGGGATTTCACTCGCTCCTGTTCCCCTACCACTGGACTGCGCGGTGGGGCGGGAGCTACGGATGCCCACCTCGGCCTCGGCACGCTTACCTCCTGCCTCAGTTTCCCCCATGCCACCCGCGCCGGGTCTCTCGCATCCGACCTCAGGCTCACCTCCCCAGCCCCTGAGCGGCCCCGGCTCTTCGGCCCAGTGGGGTTCCCGCCCTCACCAGCACCACGAGGCTCTCCAGGTCCACGGATGGCAAGCCCCAGCCCCCAGCCCAGCAGTACAGTTCCATGGGCGCCGCCATCTTTCCCGCCCTCTGTCCCGGAAGGAACTCCAAGATCTCCGAGCACCAGTGGGCGGGGTACCCAGGAGGCTGGGCAGAAACCTGGGGGCGTGGCCACGAGCCTAGGCAAAGAGAGGACGCCCGGGGGAGGGGCTGCGGTGTCCGGGGCGGTGGGGGGCTCACTTTGGGGAGGGGCTACGGGGCGGGGCGGGGGAGGGGATGCGTTGTCCAGGGTGGTGGGGGCTCGCTTTGGAGAGGGGCTACTTGGTGGGGTCGGGGAACGGCTGTGGTGTCCATGGGAGTGGGGGGCTCGGTCCGGGGAGGAACTGTAGGGAGGAGAGGGAGAAAGGCCTTGGAAATGGAGACGGGGGGACCGCTGTGAGGGACGGCGCAGGCTCCGGGTCGAAGTCCTGGTCAGGGTTGGAGGGGGGCCTCCCCTGGCCACGGAGCTGCAGTGTTCATCGACGTCTTTCACTAAGAATAAGCCCCAGCTCTTCTTCTGTTGGAAGGAGCGGCTTCTGTGGCCTCGGGTGCCCCGGGCCCCCGGGGGAGGCTGCCGCCGAGGCGGGGCGCGGGGGGGGTCCCCCGAGCTGCATGCTTTCCGAGGCGCGTTATGTTTGGAGCAGCCCGCGCTCCTTGTCTCCATGGAAACAAAACAGAGGCGGTGGCCTGGCCCCAAGGCTGGGCGGGGTGAGGGGGATAGAAGAGGGGACTGTTGCCTTGGAAACAGAAACTTCTCCCCCGATCACCCCATCCCTGTCTCAACCCTCCACCCTGTTTCCCTGTCCCCATCTCCCTCACCTCCCAAACTCAAATAATTCCCAGTTCCCCTCCACCCAGCCCTGATGTCTTCCTCTTCCTTGAAGTTCCCCTCTCTTCTCTACTTCTCTAAGTCCCCCACCCCCACTCCCAATAGGCTTCTTCTGTACTCACCCTTCTGACCCTTCCAGGCTCCAACTTGTCCAAGCACTAAGGACACTAAGGAAGAGAAACACAGGGATCATCAGTGTTCCCTCTAACTTTTCCCCCATCTTGACATGGTGGGTTAATAACCTCCAGCTTGTGAGCATCCCTAAGGCAGCCTGGTCACTGCCGTTGTCCTGGCATATTCTCACGCCAGGAGTGGAATAATGCCCACAGTTTCTCTAGCATTGGCTTCCCCCACCTCCCCGCTAGCTACTCCAACTTTCTAAAAAGCTTGGCTGTCTAAGAGACGTATCTACATTCCCCATCGTGATAGGAAGACTGGGGAGGGTGGGATTCCCCACGAATATATGTGAGGGAGAAAGTGAAAACTCTGGGAGAAAGTGCCAAGGCGTTGGCAGGAGAGGTGAGCAAGAACTTTGTAGCTGAGAGGCCTCTGGTTTTCTTCCTTCAGAGTCCCTGGAGTTGTAGAGCTGGGGATGCCTCAAGGTTGATTGGCAGTTCTTTGTTCCTGCCCCCCCTCCCTCGCCCCGCTGGCTCCCCCCTGCTCGGTTCCTCCGCCCCCCCTCCCTTCCCCTCCCTCCGCCTTGCCTTTCCCCTCCCAGCTCCTGGGGTTGTGAGCCGGCTCATCGGCATGGAGACGCAGGAACTTCGGGGGCCCCTGGCTCTTCTTCTCCTCTGCTCCTTTGCCTCTGCTAGTCAGGACCTTCAGGGTAAGCCTGCCCCTACACCCCTTTATCCCTTCCCAGCCAATCTCCCCACCCTTCATGCTCCTGACTCAAGGAGCTGGGAACGTGTGAGTGGCGGAGACATGAAGCAGGGGCCAGAGATGGAGAGGAGAGAATAAACTACCTAGAGTTGAGAGAATGAGCTGATGGGTAGGAAAGGGGCATCGGCTAAGGCCAGGTATGATGCCAGGGCAGGAAGCTCAGGGGTTACCAGGAATTGATTGCCTGTAGGGTGACATTTTAGAATCTATGAATACCCGCAAGGAGTTAGGAGAGCATTTTGAAGGTAGACTCTGGTACAGACAGAGATTAGCCCTGGTGTCCATCTGCTGCACCACTCTGTCCCTGTGGTCCTGGTTGCTCCTGAGAAAGGGGAAGGTAGAGGTCCCTACTCTCCGGGAGGTCTGGTGGAAGGATGGGCTGAGTGCCCATGGGTGTGGGAGAGGTGGGGGGTGGGGAGGACAACACAAATACAGATTCTTTCCTCAGTTTGAGTAGAAACCACAGATTAGCCACAGGACATAGCAGCTGAAGGAGCTGTGGTCCTAGATCTCTCTAGTGGGAGAGGGAGGCTGACGAGATAGCTTGGTGGAGATTTCATGGAGCAACTATTCTTCACCTTAAATACTTGTATTGAATGACAGAGAGTAGGACAGGAGGGGACCAAAATGCAGGGTGAACCAAAAGTCAACTATGGGGAGAAAATACAACTTAGCACAGTGGGCACCAGGTGCCCACTTTTCCCTGGTCTAGGGATAGTGGCTCCTTGGCGCCACCTACTGGGAATATCTCTAGATTTCCTTCACCTCTGGGTTTGGTATTCCAATCTGCAACTAGAACCCATAACAGAGGAGGGAAATGTGTTTTAAGAGGCTACCAACCTCTGGCTCCACTGCCAGCAGCACTCAGAGGAGCCCAGGAGGAGGCTGAGGATCTCTAAAGATAGAGTCTGTACTTTTGCACTTGGAACCAGACTCTATCTTTGGTGCATTCTACCCTGGCAGTGATTGACCTGCTGACTATGGGTGAGTCTCGGCAGATGGTGGCCATGGCAGAGAAAATCCGGACAGCCCTACTGACAGCTGGAGATATCTACCTCCTGTCTACTTTCCGACTGCCTCCCAAACAGGGTGGTGTTCTCTTTGGCCTCTACTCTCGCCGTGACAACACTCGTTGGCTAGAAGCCTCCATCGTGGGCAAGATCAACAAAGGTAACACGTGGGCACCATCTTTCCCACTCTAGGGTGACCAGTGGTGGACATATTTGATCTACATTGAGTATTTTCAACCCAACCTCTATACTCCTTTGTCCTACTGGGGAACAATGTTGTCTGACTAGCCAGGGATCGGTCTTGAGTACCTTCTTGATAACTTCCCAGGGTCATCCAGGGGCATTTCAAATGCCTGAGAGAATATTCAAATGGCAGGATGAAGACTGGGGAGTGAGAGGAGAAAGACCTCTTTTGTTGGGGGGCTTTCATGTCCCAGAGAAATATATATCATGATCCCTGGAGGTGGTGGGGAAGTGTAGGGTTCAGTGGGTCCAGAACCTCATTCTCACCTTCCTACCAGAAGCAGAAGTCTGATGGCAAAGGTGGGGGGGGGGAGAGAAGGAATTTCTAACCTTCAAATGTTGGCAGCTCTAAAAGGCAATCTTATGCCCAAGTAATACTTAGCCACTGTTCACTACTGGAGGGGAAAACAGTAGCACATACTGACCCTACCCTTCCTGGGCAGTGTTGGTTCGGTACCAGCGGGAGGATGGGAAAGTACATGCAGTGAACCTACAGCAAGTGGGCCTGGCAGATGGACGTACCCACACTGCCCTATTGCGCCTCCGTGGCCCTTCCCGGCCTAATCCTGCTCTACAGCTCTATGTGGACTGTAAGCTAGGTGACCAGCATGCTGGGCTCCCCCCATTGGCCCCTATTCCTCCTGCTGAAGTTGATGGGCTAGAGCTGCGGACTGGCCAGAAGGCTTATCTGAGAATGCAGGTGAGTAGAGAGAGGACTTTGGTGTGTGTGTAGGGGGGAAAGCAACAAAATGAGAACCAATGGCTAGAGTCTTGCTCTCTTCTTGTCCTGACAGGGCTTCATAGAGTCCATGAAAATGATTCTGGGGGGATCAATGGCCCGAGTTGGGGCACTGAGTGAATGTCCATTCCAAGGGGATGAGGAGTCCATTCATAATGCAGGTAATACACTGACTGGATCTTTGATCCTTGACTCTCATGAACTCTGGACCTCTTGATCGACAATTCCCTTGACCCACAACTCCCTTGATATTTAGGCCTCCTGCTTTCCCTTTCCATGGGTTTCTGACTCTGTGATCTCTTTACTTTTGACTTTATAACCTTCAAAGGGCTACATCTGGGGGGTGTAGGGCCCAAGGCAAATTATCCTCTGTGGTTCTTGTTCTCAAACATTTTTATTCAAGTGGCATTAGGTATAATGAATACCAAAGGAAGCTTAGAAGGAGAAAAGAATTTTAAAAGGGCAACATCAAACTTGATATGGGAAATGTGAAAGCCAATAGGGAGATAGGAAAAGATATTCTGGTGATAACGAGTCTATATAACCATAAATGTTATCTTTTTTTTTAAACATCAACTGATTAGATACTGTTGCTGCCTCCTCCTCCTCTCTTAGATATCTGCTTCCCTTAGTAACTTTCCAGCTGCCTAGACCCTGTAGTGAGTGGAGCCCCCCAAAGTATAAGGATTTAGGCAGTTACCCCAAGTAAGGTACTGTGTCCTAGGCCCAGTTCTGTCCTTTCTGACCCTCATGAGTCATGATCCGAACTCTAAGCTTTCCCAGTATTTCTTGTATGTCCGCATGCCTGTCTTTCCAATCCATTCTCCACTGCTTTCTCCATCCCCTTTCTAGATGTGCTATTTCATGATGGTTCTGTCTTTTTACTATGTTGTCTTCTCTCCTCTAGTGACTGGAGTACTTCATTCTATCCTAGGTGAGCGAGGGGTGACAATGTGGGCACTGGGGATGCCTGAGGCGAGATAATTGTGTGTGTGTGTGTGTGTGTGTGTAATCAGTAGGTGGGCCCATTTGGTCTGGATGGATTAAAAAATAAGGGATACATTAACACCTGAGAGTTCTATCTTTGGGTGGAGGGCATGGTCCCAAAAGCACCTTGGGTGTGTCCTGGGTGATTCAGTGACCACCATATGCCTGGTGCTCACAAGTTCTGAGACTCTTGATGCCATCCCACTTCTCCACAGGTGAACAGACGAAGGCACTCGTGACCCAACTTACTCTCTTCAACCAGATCTTGGTAGAGCTTCGAGAGGACATCCGGGATCAGGTTAGAGGCTGGGACCAGGGAGAGGATTATGAAGTGGGGATGTGCCGGTGTTAACCACTCCTCCCATCCTGGCTTTTTTTTTTTTTT